CGTCTCTAAACATAATTTTGCAATGATAGTTTGTTAGAATATCAACGACGAAGATAATCTTTTCCCCGTTTCCTGGAATTATGGTGAACCTGCCACATATGTCGAAACCATCAATGTTGACCTCCAAGTATGTGCACGTGTTCGAGACTACTGACCCACTTATTCCCCGTATAAGTAATTTTGAAGGCATTCTAGCACATCCTAGTGCGTTTGATATTCCTTCGTCTATGCAGCTAACATTTGCCCCTGAATCGAAAATCAGTTTGCCTACATGTGTCTCATTGATATGCGTGATTAAACAGAAATTTGTCATACCTGTCCAACGGAATTTTTCCATTGCTGTACCCCCTATTTCTAAAGTGGATTTTTCTATTGGTACCTTATTTAATGTCTGTTTCTCGTTAACCCCCGGTTGTCCTTTAACCCTGAAGATTATGCGATTGGTGTTACCAGTAACCTCGGAAAATACACGTGGTACGCTCTCTACACTATTTGAAACTTCCACCACAGGATTAGAGGCAAAATTGTACTTACCACGTGGCCTCCTTTTCGGGCAATCCCAGTGTTTGTGCCCCGTCTGGTAACAAGTGAAGCATCTTGGCGTCCCGTCCGGTAGCATAAATCTTCTTGCTTTCTCCATTGGCGTTTCGGTCCTTGGATTTCGTCCTTGTTTTTGTTCCCACTCTTCCGCCGTCCTCGTAGTTGTTTCCCAACTCGTCGTTGTACCTGCCTCCGTCCGTTCCTTGTTCCATTTATTCGTCTCGTCGAGGAATTTCGCCGCCTGTAGGAAGTCGGCCTCTTCTGGGTTCCGCGTGGTACTCCACGAGGCTGCCAGTAGTAGGCAGTCTTTTGGAGCCAATGCCCACAATGCCTCCTTGCTTGAATTAAACGGCGAAAACTCACCTGCCGTCGCGTGGGCCGTAATCAGGTTCATCAGGTATTTCCCCGTATCTTCCGTGGACTGGGGCCGTCTCGTTTTCTTTAATTCGTTGCCCCTACTACGTGCCCGGCCGTCGTTCCTTGGGTAGCAAAGCCTCAGCGCTTCCAGGACGTCTTCAAGTGCGGCTGAAGGGTCAAACCTGCACTTGATGAATTCGCGGCCGTCAAGTGGAAGCCGCCGTACTAGGGCCTTTGTCCAGTCTCCCTTCGGTACCTTGCTCGCCGTCAGCCACGTCTTGAATTCCTCTACGTAGTCCTCGATGTCTTCCTCCTCCGGGTTGAAGCACGGCGTCTCTCCGTAGCCGATGTTTATGTTCGTGGCTTGAGGTGCTGGGCCGACACTGCTCTCCACCATGTGATGAGGCTGAAGTGGGGATATAAAACTCAATTTATTGGTAGGTTGCAGTACATTGTCCTGGTGGGCTATGGTCACCATGGCCCGTTCCAGGGCTGGGCTTGTGGTCCGGTTCTGGAAGGTTGTTGAGGTCCGATTCTCTGTGGTATAGCCGTTGGGAGGGTTAGATCTGGTACAAGACATCGTTCGTTCGCCGGCAAGGATAAAAAGAAAAACAAAAAAAATAAAAATAGCACGAAGGTCAGACGATAACTCGCACGTTGTGTTTGTAAGCATTCCGCGAAAACGGTGGTCCGTGGTCAAATACAACTTGTGCCTGTTATCTCTGTGGTGTCGTTTCTCTGATAAATAAATAAAATAAACAAAATTTAAGATAATTTTGCAACGCCACGTGCATTTCCGGTCGGTTGCTTGTTGACACACAACAATATATAAAAATGAATGTCTGTGTGTCTGTGTGTGTGTCCTCTATGGATTCAAAAACCATACATCCAATCGCCGTGAAATTTTGGGATATTATTAGGCATATCCCCGGAAAGGTTTACGAAAAATAATTTCTTGAATATCTTTAATATCCTTAGAGTTATTTGCAGATTTGTAGCTTTAACTCGCAAGCAGCGCCACCTTGCGACGGAGATAGGCTTAGGTCTGCCCCCTCCCCCCCCCCGTCCGGCCGCCGGCCATTGGACAGTCCAAGTTCCCACCGACCAATCAGAGGGATCAAGAGGTTCTGGCGCGCGGGGGCAGAGTTGGTGACACAGCTGTGCAAAGCCTAGCGGGTGACCTCCGGGAACTACGTCCATCTTCCATAAACGACCATAATTTTATTCAACTTATCGAGTATTTTTCAAGGGACCGGGAAAATATGTTCACTAGATAAAACGATGATTTTGTAAAGTAGAAAATTAGGAAAGACAAAATTCAGGATGACACGGCACACAGGGACCGGGAAAAAATATTCACTTTATCGAGAGATTCAAATTTACGAGTTTCGAATTATCAAAATATATCTTTTTTTTATAAGTTTATAGAGAATTGTTTTAACAAATGTTCGTTAGACAAACCTTTACTCGGGTAAAACCTCGGGCGAAGCCGGGTACATCCGCTAGTACTCTATAAAAAGCTTTGGTAATGTCTAGAAAAACAGCGCCTCTGCCCCCTTGTGGGATCTTCTTATTCAAATATAGTCATTTACAGTGTGTGTGTGTGTGTGTGTGTGTGATTACGTGATGTGTTGTGGAGTGTCCTGTTCTAAATACAAATTATTAGGAAATAATAAAGTTAAAATAATCAAAGTACGTCTGGAATCAACAAAAAATAACCCTATCGTACATCTATCTTACCGATAGTAAAGAGAAGGCTGATTGGTCTGATATCTTCTGGGGATTTGGCGGGTGATTTCTTCGTAATGGGTATTATTATAACATGTTTCCATGTCTTTGGAAAGTAGCACAGGTGTAATGCAGCATTGAAGATCCCAGCGAGGAAAAATATCCATTTGATGGGAAGAATATTTGTCATTTGTGACGTAATATTGTCGTGGCCTGGAGCTTTATGATTACCTAGGTTTTTAATCACTTCCTTGACTTCATTTGACGTTGTCATTGATAGTATCTTTACTTGATGAAGTTGATAAGTGTTATAGATTAGATGGATACTCATCCTCCACCTTGAAAAAGTGTTTGAGTAAATATTCTGCAAGGCCATTTCCAATTTCTTTGTCGATCTCTCTCAGCAGGGTTTTGTCATCTACACTTAAACTTGTAATCCTGTCGTTTTTTCTTTGATGTTTTTTTCAGAAGTCTTTTGGGATTGATTCAAGTTTGCTTATATAAAAAAATCAAAATTTTAGATTTGTCTGCTTCAAGGGCTTGGTTAGTTTTTCCTTGAAGATTCAGGTAAGTAGCTCTATTAGCTGAATCCCTGGTTACATGCCATCTTTTCCGAGCTTTATTTTTCCGCCTTATTAAATACTTGGTTTGTAGGTTCTTTTTCAATTTGGAGAATAAGACTATGGTTTTCAAAATAGCTATTATTAATTCTATCATTTAAAATATCAATTGCTGAATCAATGTTTACTTGAATCTTCAAGGGAAGTCTAGGGGGCGCAATGGAAATTAGATCTTGTTGAAAACTAACCCAGTTAGTTACTCGGCTGAGCCTAGTTGAGCCACTTCAAGTGGGTTCTTTTTTTCGAGTCTACAAGAGTAGCCACCATAAATTTTCTGAACATATTCCCTGATGTTTTTTAATACGAAATTTTTAGATTTAATGATGTACTTATTTTTCCAGATATCGTACTTGTTCTCTGTTCCAAAATCACTTTATTAGGTACCGCTCAAGAAGAGAAATCTAGTATATGATATTTGCAACAATGAATAATATATGACGGGTATTCACATATTAAACAAAATGTTAACGCGGGATTCGATTCCGATTCATGACTGTGGGAAATCGAGGGTGTTACCCACTCGTCCACCGACTCTTTTATCAGATATCGTACATTGGAATTTTTCTGTGCACAGGTATTTCAGTTCTTGGAAGAGAAACTTCAAGTATGTTACATTTTCGGCTATTACAGATGGTATTCTTGGCTATTTTGCGTTTGTAACTGTTGTCCAAGGGTCTTCTTCATTAATGCTTGCTTCGTCAACTTGCGGTGGGGTGGCCGAGGTCTTTTGTTGAGGAACTTCACTTACCTTGCTAATGGAAACATTATTTCCATTCTTGGTGTCTAATGACTACGTGTGATATTGAATATGACTGGGATTGGCGAAAATGTTTCTTTGTTTAAAGAGTTTCATTTTGTACTCGATTTCAAGAATTTTCAAAGGCATGGTGGATTCGATTGAACTGACCTTTTCGCCAAAGAGAGAAAGAAGGACCGATCATTGATTATATTACAATCGGCTGCATATGGGTTCTTGATAGTCGACCATTACCATTTAATTTTGCCTATTACTGAACTAATTTATTTATTTTCAGTCCTAGTGAATGATTATAATAATTAAAAAGGTTTCTGGAGATGTGTGTGTGAATTTCTTTTTATTTCATCAAAGCGGTATCAAGCTTTCAGGCATCGCTGCCCTCCTACAGGTGAACAAATACAAGGAATAAAACGCCGCCTGATTCATTATATATGTTCTACTGTAGAAGGACGGAGATGGTCGAAAGCTGGAGATGGTTTTAAAATAAAAAGAAACACATCTCTGGAAACCTTTTTAATTGTTTAATTAATGTCCATGAGATTTGAATCAATTAATGCATTCATATGACAATACTAGAACATTGGCCTGTTTACAGACATGTCTAGACTACTGGCACTACAAAGCTTTATTGAAGAATTTCGTTTATAAAGCTGAAAATTAAGTATGTGCAAGACTTTAATTTTTTATATATTTTGCTTATTGATTTTAAACTTAATACTAAATGTAAATTAAATTTAATACCTTTTGTAGATATATTTTGAATTATATAGCAACAAATATCTTTTAAGAAACCCATAAATTATTTTATGTTCATTGTTGATATTGCCAGACATTTCTTCAATAATCGTTATTTCTCTTTAAAATAGATTTCGATTATTTTTAAAAGAAACATTCGCGGTATAATTGCAATTTTCGTTTTACAATTATCAGCCGCGTTATATTGTATTTTAAATGTATTATAAGTTACTTTAAATATTATTTACGAACGGAAAAATACGTCCAGGGTAGCCTAGTGGACATTTCACCTGCCCGGTAAGCAGAAGGTTGTGGGTTCGATTCCCGCCCCTGGACACTTTTATTTTTCCGTTTGTCATTACTCTTCACAATTCATCCTATCATACTTCATCCTTAAAGTTAGAAATAATCGTTATTTCTCTTTAAAATAGATTTCGATTTTTGTTTAAAAGAAACATTCGCGGTATAATTGCATTTTCGTTTTACATTTCTTTCTTTTGTACATAGTTCTCTTTCTCCTTGTTTCGGCCTAAATATTTGTCTATTCTTTAGACAAATGTAAAGGCATACATGTATGACAGCGCAAGTGTCCCTAGAAGAACATAGTGCCCTAAATTGAAATGAATAAATGTAAATTAATAAGAAATCCTATTTTTATCTATTCTCTCAATAAATATATGTGAATGGCTCTGCCCCCTTAAAATCTCATTTTATTTGAGTGCCATATTCGGATCACGTCCGGCTCGATTTTTTTTCGTTTCAGGAACCTGGGTTATAAATATAGCTCTCTCTTGAGTGGCATATAAAAACTATTTATATGTTTCACAATTTTTAAGAATTTTTTTCAACTTGCTTATTCGCGATGACAATTCAATTATTAGAATATTTTCAAAATGTGCCATATTAAAAATAATAGAATCATAATCCATTTGATCAAAATATGCATTTGTAGCTGAATGAATAGGGCAACGTCTCTATGTCTTACCTGGATGAAATTTTATCTGAGTATATGTGTTTTTGTGTGTAAAATAGATATACAGATTCAAATTTATTACAAGTTATTTTCGTTACAAATATATATTTGGCCCTGTTTCGCGCGGGTTCTCCTCGAGTGAAAGTTTGCCCAACGAATAATGACTTAACTAAAATACATATGTATATACACATGTATACACATATATACATGAAATAATTGTTGAAGTCCTGGTAGCTCTTGTTGTACTGTGTTGACCAAGAGGAACAGTCAGGATGTAGAGTTTTCCAGTACCTCTCTGCACCTTGGAAGACCTTTAAAAGTTCTCACAAAATACAGGCAGTCGTGGTCGAGGCAGAGTGGAAAAGCTTGGGGATATCCACACAAAAAACGAAGACACAGTTGCACTAAGAAAGTTCCGTAAACAGATAAAAGTTGAGCCAGGAGCGAAAGATGGAGACATAGAAGTTTCTTACTCGTCTACATGATAGTTGAGATCGACATAAGGTACGACCGACGTGAGCTGACGCTAAGGGTGAACTAAACTCAACTGACTGAACTGTACTGAGCTGTCAAGCCACTGTAAGGTGATGATTTATAGGTTAAAGACGGGGTGACCTTATGTGACAGGGGCGTTTGAGAAAGGGCGCCTTTACCTGTCCAGGTGTGAGAGGGGTCTCTGCATTCCACCACATGTGACAGTGTGGGTGGCCTGTCGTGGGAACTGTAAATCTACCTGATTTATGACTCCCATCTTTAGACTCTGTTGTTTTGGCAATTCTATGCTCGATCTCTGCTTTAGCTCAACTCTTAAATCTATTACAGATTTTATTTATTTATCCACTTTGTACAAATTACATTACATAGGTGATGCAATGACACAGATTAATCATGCGCATAATTATTTATAGATGTGTTTCTATATACAACATGGCAATCTTGTTATAAGTTATCTACACAATATGAGGTTGTTGTTTTAAATTACCATAGATGGGCCCCGGGAGTGAAAGGGTTTATCCGGGTTTAGGCGGGTAAAGCCTCTCTAACACAGGTAAGTAATTAAAATTTCTTTTAATTAATTTAAACTGTGAGGGTTAAAAAGGGCTATAACAAGATGATATTTGTTGGATATATAAAAGTGAAATAATAATGACATTTTGTTTGATTAACAAAAAGATTATTAAAATAAAATGATGACATAAAAATTCACATTCTAAGAGAATATTGGTGGGCGTTGGACAGGGTTAGTAGTTAAAGAATAAGCAATTGTGAGATTTACACATGCAATCAAATACTTAGGTCCAGGTGCAAAGCGAGGATATGGACTTGAGCGTCTTCCTAGGCAATGTTTCACTTGCGATCCTATATAAGGGTTACAGTGTTTTGTCACAATTTTAGGATTATTGGGTTAAAAGTTGTTGAAGAAAAGTTGCTTATTAATATGATTGAGAAAGGAGTGAAATAGAGCCATGCGATAAGTAGAATTGTAGCGACAGTAGGTGATCTGACTTGACTCGAAATCAAAGGTTGAATGTGGTCCGCTAGAGCTGAAAAAAAAAAGTTGAAAGTTGAAAAAAGTGAACGCTTTGTGTATGCGTTGGTGATTTGCTCTGCGGATGAAATGAAATAAACTCTTGAAGCTTGTTCAGACCAGAAGTTTGGATTTGTAAGTCTGGGGAACTGTGTTCAAGGCGTTTGTTGAATTACGAAATCAAAAAATAAATTGTCAAGCAGTGCTGTCGTTTTTCTACATTGACGTGACGCAATGACTGAAAAGATAGTGAAGAAAAATATAGGGGATTGGTTAAAGAATATGATTGTTGAAAACGATTGTTGTAGATGCCCGATAGTGGATGATAAACTTTGTCAGATAATAAAGGTATTTAAACAAATAAAATATAGTGAATAGAAATATAGAAATATGATTGCGGGTACAAAAAGTGTAAGTGGACAAAATTAAACCTGTAATATATAAAATATATAATAAATAATAAAATAAAAATAATTTTTGAAACAATTAGATGCTTTACAATACTAAAATAATATCATGAAAAATAAAAGTAAATTTGATTAAAGGTTTTTTTTTTTTTTTTTTTAAATGTTGGATTAAAAAATTTGTTTATATAATTGAAATGTAAGAATAAGAATAATTATTCAAGATTTTATACAAAATTTATAATATAATTGAAGGTTATTAATGATTGGATAAATTTTAAGTAGTGTAAAATTGAACAAAAATTGTCTCTTTTGACGAAAAGTTACAGTTGTGGTGTGTGACTAGATTATATCCCTTTGGTAACATCGGTGTTTCTATGACTCTGAAACTGGGAATATGTGAAATGATCTTTTCGTTTGTCCTCAATGCTGGTATGTAGAGAATGATTTCTCTTTCGCGTTAAAAAGTCTATATAAGACTTAACCAAATTGTTTTAATTGGTGTTATCAATTAACATGTAAAATGTTTAAAGTATGTTGTGTTGTGATATCTCTTTGGTGAGATTTGTGAGATTCTCGAGAAAATCTAAAGGAGTAGTGTGACACATGTGTTCAAAATGGCGTCATGAAGCTAGCGGTCAAGAAGATCTGCCTTGAGGGGGAAGAGAGGGCATGTCCAAAGATATTCTCAAAAGATAGTAGTGACCAAGGGAGTGGCGTCAAAAAGGGCGTCCACTTCCCTGTTTTTCACGGTATCGCCGTGGGTGGTCAATCATGGGGATGTTTGAGATTTACTCGAAACTGACTTTCTCTCTCTCTCTCTCTTTTGTCGAGGTTTTGGCAATTTTCTGTTATAAATGAAAAATATAGTTTTCTCGATGTTCGTAAGTGGTTGTGTTTTCGAATTTAGTTTAGACTTAGAAAAAATGTTATTAGGTGATGTCAGGTTTAGATGTGTGGTGAAAGTGCGACTTTCGACGTAGACACGCTTTGGGGTGAATTGTGGTGTCACAGGCGTGAAGGGCGTCTTTGGCCTGAAAAGTGAAAAAGTTTTGTGTGGTGGCACTGTGACACGAAGTGAGAAATGTGAATAAAAAGGTGTCACGTGAAGTCTTAGTTTGGTACAAATCTAACCTGTTTAACCATGAATAACAAATTTAATAAAGTCATGGGTGGTTGTTGTATGAAACACATCGAGAGAATATTTGACTGTTAGTGGATGTTGCACGCTTAATTTGAAATTATTTTATTGTGGCGACGAGATATAGAGTTAAGTGGAGGCTTGTGTGGCTCAAGATTTGGATTTGTGTGTTAAGTCGCGCACTAAAAATGGTTGCCAATTGTATAAAGTGATGTGTGAGTGTTGTAACATTTGTTGAGAAAGATTTATTGATGCTTAATTATGCATGTAAAAAGTAGAGACGAGGGAGTGTATCTAAGTTAGAATAAAATGTTGTTAATAAGTTTGGTAGGTTGTGACCTAATTTAGCTACTGGCGATGAAGTGGGGGGAATCTTTATTTTCAACTTGTTTTGGGAAAGATAGTTGTTTTCCCTAGTGGTGTTTTTGAAGATATTGTATCTTCCGATTTTTGCAATTAAAAAAAAATGTGTTTCACCTACGTTAATTTATATTTAAAAATTGATATTTTTGATCGTTGATTATGGTAGCGTAAAGATGTTCCTTGTAAAAAGGCAATGTCGTGAGAGTTACAAATAATTTGAATTGGGCGCTTACTTGAAATGGTCAACATTACCAAATTTTAAGAATTGATAAAGATATTGGTCTTTTGGTATAAAGATAACTAATAAGTAAAACAAAAATAAGTTTAGTATTATGATGAATGAGAGACGATCATATAAGCAATCAGATGATCAAAACGGCAGTTCATCATATATCTCCTGTGTTAACAAAATTGTTCAATGCTTGTATGGGACTTAATTATTATCCGGAGGCCTGGAGAAAGTCAGCAGTAATGATTATAAAAAAACCTAATAAAGAAAATTATAAAGATCCGAAAGCCTACCGCCCTATAAGCTTGTCTTCTAATTTAGGTAAAATTTTTGAAAGTCTAATTCATATTGAACTTTTAAATCATATTAATAGTAATAATGTTATGCATCCTGCTCAACATGGATTTACACAAGAAAAATCAACAATCTCTGCTTTACAAGAAATAACTAAATTAAGTCTTTTGAAAAGAGAAACAGAAAATACGGCAATAGTAACAGTGGACATCAGCGGAGCTTTCGACAATGCATGGCATCCGGCAATTCTCCAACAATTGGACAAGGCAAATTTTCCAGCGGTACTTATAAAAATAATTAATTCTTACTTTGAAGACCGGAGTGTAGAGTTTAAATATACTAATGTAAAGTGTATAAAAAAGATAAATAAGGGATGTCCCCAGGGTGGTATTATTTCTCCT